TGCATTATCATTGCTAAACCATATACTAGATGTATATCTTAACCAGAAGTTCTTTTCAGGTTTTATGGTGCGGGTGTGTAATGCGGGTAAAAAATAAATCAAACTCTACACAAAATATAACTAAAACCTACCCAGCTTGTCTGAACCGATAAAAATCTTCTATAGATTTGTGTACATAACGATAATTAGTTTTGAAATTATTATATTGTCTCAGAAGAAATAAAGAAATTTCTTCGAAAGAGCAGTTAGGCATAAGGCGAGAAATGGAAATAAAATACACTTGCACTAAAAAAGGCCATGTCAGTGTTAAAAAATATGGAAAAAAATTCAAGTGAAGCATTTAAGAAAAATCATAAATTGCTATTGTTAAAAAAATTAAAAATATTTATAAAATTATATACATTAAAAACCAATGACCACTTAGATCAATTGACTTTCAATGAGGGTTTGAGGAAATCTACATATGTCGCGTGTCGAACCAGTGTTTTTATTATCAAAAACATAACTGTATTTTTATACAGTGAGAAAATAAAACATCATGGAAGCTCTAAAATTTTGTAAAAAAAAGGCATTTGAGTAAAATAAAGATAGAAAAGGTTCTTAAAAACTACACATGAGAATAATTATGTATATATATTTGCTTTTTAAATATAAATATTAATTTGAGTCCTTAAAAGTTCTAGGAGTCACTTTCCTAAAGAAAAGATTCAAATAAATATGAAAGCTAAGGCCAATCGAATTAAAAATCGATGTAGAATTTAGAAAAATTAAACAAAGTACAAGTTATTGGGAAAATAATAAAGTAGAAAACCTCTTTTAAAGTGAGAATGTCATTCAACATCAGTTTAAAATTTTTGAAACGAAAAGCCATGTGTATTATTCTACTACATAATTATATTCCATTGTATTTTCTTATAAAATATAAAATTATATGATATTTAAACTCCAATTATGGAGGAAAAGAAAGAAAAGAACTGGTGTGATAATATAAATCAACCTTTCTTTCTAACATTCTTTAGTTACACGAGTCAACAAACCTTTTGTTTAAAAATATAAAGCCAGTCTTTATCAAAGATACTTTTTTTATGAGTGTCTCGAGAGAGCTTACCACACTATGGAACACGAATTTGGTAAGCTAAGCTGCGGCTTATTTATAATGACTCGAAATACAATCGTTATGTTATAATTTAAGAAAGCATCGTAGATATATACTATATAAAGTACTTTAACAATCATTATCTTATGATTTACATAGGATAATCTGAACCATTATTTCGAAAATAAGCAAAATTTCTTTAGATCTATGTAAAAAGTACTGGTAAGACGCAAATCTCGCATAAATTTGCGAACAATCTATATATTTATAAAAATTTTACGCCAACGAAGAATGATGTGTTAATCAAGCATAATAAAAAATTTAGGTCCTCAGTTTTGTATACAAAGATATTATATAAAAAAAATGAATATATGGAACACAAAAACACATTTAAAAATAGCCAAATATAGCAAAACAAATATGAAACAATAACGTGATCAAATATGTTCTATCATATACCCAAAATGGTTCATAAACCACAATAAATGATATTATGCGACATTTTTTCTATATTTATCCCTAGTTACATTTGCAGATGAAAAATTTGTGGCTAGGTTGTCTTGAAACGCGTCCCAGGCCCCAATTTTACCATATTAAATATTAAAACTTTTTAAAACTTTTTAAAATGATAGACGGAGAAACTTTTTAAAAATATATTTTATAATTTTTGCGATGAAAAGCAATGTTGTTGTTTGTTTCGTGCTACTAGCAATAATTCATTTATATAGAATTATAAATATTTTTTTGGTGATAGATTATATTGAAACGTCATTAAAAAAAGTAGTTTGGTTCATTTTCAACACAAAAAGCAACCAAAAACATGTTTTATATTCTATGATTAAAAATTTAATGCAAAAAATATACAGGCAAATTCAGGAAATAATAGATGTTCATTTTTGAGTCTAAAACTAAAATTTACAATAAAAAAAACGAATTTTTTTTATTCTCTTAATGCTGTTATTTTATTTAGCTAAGACGTCATTGATTATCAGGAAGAATTAAAGCAAGGCGATAACTTCTACGTTTAGCATGTTTAGCAAAAAATACAAATGAGATTTTTTTTTCATACATCAAAGACCAGATAACAGTTCTTAGGTATATAAATATTATATTCGACTTTTTAAAATAATTATGAGATAGATTTTCATGTGACAAAACTCATTACGTATTATAGGTTATAACGCTAAAAATGATGAGTTTATAGTATTAGAATATACTTCTAACTGGCACTAGGCCGGTGGGTATTAAATCTCTAGGTAAGGTTATATCTTAATATAGCAATTATATATTTATGAGTCAAAGAAGAAAATTTTAATGATCTTGACTTAAGAGAGAATTTGAACCTGCAGGAAAGAATATACCAATGAAATAATGGTACAATCAAAGTAAAAAACGGTAAATATGCAAAAAATATGTTTGTATCTCAAAAAAAAGTAAAATTTAGGCTATTCGAGGAATTCTTAAGCATGAGCACGTGGAAATAGATTAACAGATTGTAAAATCAATTTGAAAAATTGTGAATTTGATTCACCATATATGTTTATGGCAATAAATTAAATGAATTGAGATTCAAATATAAAGTCGTATTTTGGGATTTAAATATAATAACTAAAAACTCTCCTTGAGCTGCAAATTTAGATATATTTAAAATAGCACTTTAAATTAATTATTTGTGTTATAGTTAGAGACTATATTGTAGATAATTCATCAGAATTATCTTGTTGAGCTATTGATATTGTAAGAATACAAGCATTCATTTTATCGACAATGTGTCAAAAAAAAGACGAAACTTATTTTAATAGCAATAAAAACCAGAATCAAGACAAAAGACTAGTATAAGCCGAAAATAAATATCAAAAAAATATTCAAATCAGCAAATATACATTAAAATTTTTTCACATATGTATATTTATACATTAAAAAGTATTTATCCAATACAATACAAAATTATTTAGACAAAACTTTAAAATAGAAATGGAAACTTTTAAAAGATCTTTAAATATCAAAGTTTTTAAGATCGATGCAATAAGTCGATGTAAAGCTGTGAATATGGTAAAACAAATATAAAATGAAAATAGCCACATAAAATACGAATTAATTCTGCAATCAAACAGTCTACTGTTTATAAATTCATAATGAATATAAAGTGTTTTTTGTCGAATATTTATAAATTCGCACATTTCGATTTTTTCTTGTATTAAAAATTTACAGAAAATTGATTTGATTTTTACTTAGTATTTCTTTGTTTAAAAAAATTTACTGGTACACAAGTAGAACCAGAAGGCTTAAATTTATTTAAAAAATAGACTATTTGCCTTTTAATATGCGAACTATCTAAGGAGAATACTTTCTACATGTCGCCGATGTTTACATTGAAAATTAATTATGTCAGACATATATAACCTCGTAATATTTGTATAAGGAATCTACTGTGGAGAGCTTATCTTATATTGTTGAATCTTTTTATCTTCTTGTTAAAACGGGTATCAAAGTGTGATTACCTAGTAATAAATAATTTAAAAAATGGAGCTTCAAGTGAGGAGAAAATTTTTGTTTTATATAAACATCAATATTGCTGCAATTACTATTCTTTGAAGCGCAAGAATACAATCGAAGCAAAACCACAGATAAACTATAAAATCAAACTTAAAAATCTTATCGATATCGAATGTAATTTGCAGATAAAAATATATTTTTGTTTTTCAGATTCTGGTTTGCACAAAGATATCTTTATTTAGTACCATAGTAAATAAAATCTAAAGCCCAAATTAACTTGGCTAAAACTTAATTTCAAAAAATGCGTCAGTTTGCTGAAAATGAAATACAAAAACCTTGTGAACCTATAGATTCATCAAAAATATAAATTTATGTTTTTTCATATCAGAAGTAAGCTGATTGAAGAAAATTTAAGAATAGTTTAAAGTATAATCAAACAATAGAATGTAAACCTGTAATAATTTTTAGAATATCATGTAATGAAAATAAGTCTATTCATATTTAAATTCAGCAAGTAAAATATCAAAATTTAGATCAAGATAATTAAAGAAAATAATAGAATACTAAGAGGTTGTATCTATGGCAATAATTTTAATTTATAGCATATACAATTTACAAAGAAAATAATAGAATACTAAGAGATTGTATCTATGGCAATAATTTTAATTTATAGCATATACAATTTACAAAGAAAATTGTTTGGTTGCGAAGTAAAAATATCATATAAAATTATATAAAACTTATATAATTACATTTAAAGAACACGGTAGATTTTGTGGATAAAATAATTGCTTTAAAAGAAGTCCTTCTATGTATCTCACATATTAGTAGAACTGTTTAATGATGTAAAAAAGAAAGTAGTCTTGTTCTCTTTCCAGATATTAAATTCAATTCTAGTTATATAGTGCTACTAAATATATTCTGACTAAAACAAGGCGGAATCAAAAATAAAATGATTGGCTCTTTAAAGAAACCTCTAGGAAATTTTCCGGGAGAAAAAAAAATAAAATCATATAAGTTGCTTGCCTTATGAATAAAAAAAATCTCAAAAAATATATTAAAATGCTTGTTTTCAAAAGAAATTTTATTCCTTAACATTATTAATGAGTTGATATCAATTTAAAATTCAAAGGATTTTATCTTTTGAGAAGTATTTTTGCTATCTTTCACAATTTAACTACTTAAAAATCTATTTCCGTTTTATTTTTTTCTCTTTTGTTCCTTAACAACGAATCATAAGAAACGATAAAAAAGTAAAAAAAATTCAAATTAAAATTTAAATGCTTATGAGTAAAAAAAGATCTTAAAAGTTATTATGAAAAATATTATTATAATTGAGTAAAGAACTACTAAGTATATACGAACTAATTATAGATATACAAAAATGTAAAGAAATACTCAAAAAATACGTCGTCGGCAGGATTCGAACCTGCGCTCGCGGAGCGAACTAGTTTTCTAGACTAGCGCCATAACCACTCGGCCACGACGACTAAAAATTTATAAATATTCATTATAAATTTTACAGTATACATACTTAAATCTGTAAACAAATTATATTATATACTCATTAGGTTAAGGTTGTCAATAATGTAACCTATATTTGAATATTTAGAAAAGCTTTAAAACATATAATGAGTATATTATAATTTGGTATTTATTATAATATCTTTCTACTAAATAACTATCAATATTTTATAAAAAACCAAATTGATACAGAGAAGTTATTGGTTTAACTTTAAAGAACGCCTTTATATTAAATTTAAGAATTATGAAATCTAAATATCAAATAAAATTTATTAGATAAATTAAAAAATTCGATTTGTGACAATTTATTAAGGAAATCTTTGTTAATGATAAACTTGATGTTAAAATAAAATTTTTAATAAAATTAAAGATTTCTAATAGATTATAAAACCTTAAAATTTATTGATTAAATAATTTAAATTGGAAATACCAGTAAATTTTTAAAGATTTCTAATAGATTATAAACTTAGAATTTTTTAATTAAATAATTTAAATTGGAAATACCAGTAAATTTTTAAAGATTTCTAATAAAATATAAACTTAGAATCAATTTTTTAATTAATAAATTGATTATCAAAAGTAATATTATTAAATTCTGTAAAATAAGTAAAATTCCATTCTAGAAAAATATTTCAGAAATATTATAAAACTATATTTTAAAGATCTATAAATATAAACTCTAAACAAAGAAATGATAAAGGATTTTATCCATAGTTATTAATTTATTTATTTATTGTAATTCGATAGATAAATAACTATGTATATCAACACATTAAATATTTCTTGATTTATTACCATCTTTCTAGTTGATGTAATTCGATAGATAAATAACTATAAATATCAACATATTAAATATTTCTTGATTTATTACCATCTTTCTAGTTGATGTAATTCGATAGATAAATAACTATAAATATCAACATATTAAATATTTCTTGATTTATTACCATCTTTCTAGTTGATGTAATTCGATAGATAAATAAATAAAATATAATCACAAGTCCTAAATAAAATAGTGAATATTCTGTAATACTTTGAATTACAATACTGTTTGTAACACAAATAAAATTTATTAATATTATAAACCAACAGAAATTCTATAAAAAAATATAAATGAAAATTAATTTTAATGTAAAGAGATTTATGAATTTGAAATGTGTAAAAAATTCAAGTAAAATTTAATATAAGTTTTTAAATAAATTTTTCTTAAGAATAAAATTTATGAACACCTAGTGTATATATTTGTTTTAAATATAGAAATAAATACTTTGTATTAATCCGCAAGTATTTTTGTTTTAATTAAGCTATACAAGTATTATTGTTTTAAATATCAAAATAAATTATTTGTATTAATCTGCAAATATTATTGTTTAAATTAAGCTATACAAGTATTATTGTTTTAATTAAGCTATACAAGTATTTTTTTTGTAGATTCAACATACATTTTAGATTATAATTCAAAAGAAAAATATTTGAACGGATTTTATATAAAAATTTACTGTTTAAAGTAAAAGTAAAACATTAGAATGTAGACTGTATTAAATTACTATCAATAGAAATTTATAAAAATATTTTAAAATAAAATAAACATTCAATATTAAGAATCTTAAATATTTTAATAACTCTTTTAAACTTTGATAACCTAATTATTTTGTTATATAAGATAAAATATTACTGTTAATTTAGATAAGATAAAGACATGAAATACTTGTCGATATCTCTCAAATGGTATTTAGTTAAAATTAGAAATGATATTTGTTTAAGAAAAACAAACAATACACCATTTAATATCCAAGTTACTTTATTAGTTGTTAATCTTTAACGAAAAACAAACAATACACCATTTATCGTTCAAGTTACTTTATTAGTTGTTAATCTTTAACGAAAAACAAACAAAACATCATTTATCATTCAATTTACTTTATAGTTGTTAATTTTTAACGAAAAATATATATTTTTGAGTTATACTGTGATATTATACTCACAAACCAATAATTTATATTACGAATGTCAATATTTTACACGAATATAAGATTTGATTCGAAATGTTTACTTATTATAAATTATATTAGGTTAAATATTTTGTAAAAGTATCAAATACTTAGTTGAACAAATATTCATATATTCTTTATTACTTTTCTGTATTTGTGTGGCTAAAAATTTAAGTTAATCAATTTCATATTTATTATATTAGTCTTGAGGTAATTATAAAAATCAAATTAAATATTTCTATGTGATCTTGGATTAGATATAAGAAAACCATTCATTTTTCTAAATATTTCTTATATTCATAAAGAAATAAACATATTTAATATTTTATAAGGAGAAAGCATAAGTTTAATTATTATTATTCTAACGTTTATGTCTATTTATCATACAAGATATACAAATAAAAGTAAATTATAAATTTGTATTAAATTTTTATTAAATTAATATATAAGTTATATCTTTATCAAATATTTAATGTATCTCCAGGGTTTACTAGATCATTGTTCATCGGACTTGATCGATATTCCATTGATGCTCGGAGCCTAAGCTATTTACATTCTAAAGATATGTAACCGATATTTAATGAGCAAAAAGTTCCTCAAGTGAGTTAATTTTTTTTTACCAGAAACGTAATTGAACAGCTAAACATATTTAAGTACCTCTTCTATTCTTAGTATAGCCTTTACTTATTACATTCTTTAAAAATCAAATTAGTTCCCGACTTAGATTTATTTCAGAGGCATACAGAGAGTCTATCTATCGTAAAAATGTCATACAGACGGGATAATCGCCAGTTAGGTCTTTTCAAGCTCTTAGAGGATATTTTTTATACAAACTGAGTTTATCTATCAAACCCAATGGATAAAATCATGTTTCTTTAGTTTTGCATTATCCTTTATACTCTCAATTCAAACTATAGTTATGTTACATAAAGCACTTGAACCAATTTTGTAGAATTTTTTTTTATTTGTAGATCTTCTTTCACCATACAAATTCCCATAGAATAACTAAAAATAGTTTTATTCATATTCCCAAAAATTAAAAAAAAGAATTCTCCGCCAGGTGCATTTAATCTTTCCGAAGAGATACCTTTTAGTATGATTATTCTTTCTTCAGTATTAAGAATAAAGTAAATTATATTTTCTCAATATTAAATGAGACGGTGAAAAATATTATTACAGCAGAAAGATAAGTGGATAATTTTAGTTTTTATATTTTTTTTTGGAAAAACTTTGCTATCGTTTAAATAGAATCTAACTAAAAACATTACGATTATAATTCGGTTTCTATTCTTTTTGGTGCTTCTTAAAGTATATAAACCAAGACCGGTATTTAATTTATTCAATATAGGAAAATATATGTTGGGAAATACTTAGTATTAAAATAGTATTCGAATTTAACCAAAACCTTTTAATATTTAAAAATGTTTGTTTTACTTAATGATTAAACAACTTTAGTTTGTAAAAACAAACAAATTCTAAGTTACAAAATATTTTATAAGTATTAATTTACATTTTTATTTATGAAAACTTAAATTAATTTCATCATTCTTATAATATTCATTATTTTAATAGAAAGATTTCTGGCTTTTTCATTGATACCATGATATCGTAATCTAACTTCTTGTATTTCGTTTTGGTTTGGTACGTTTTCTGTGTTTCGTAGTATTTCAGAAAATAAATTATCTTCTTCAGTTTTAGAACATTCGGGTTTTTTGGTTCTTGTTTTTGGAATAGTCGAGTTTTGGTCATTTTTAGTTTTGGATATTTTTGGCGACTTCTTCTTTGATCCAAAAAACTCAATTGCACTGAATCCTGCTATGAAACATATGAGAATTAAAGTACCGATCAATACTTTGTTTTTAGTAATTTTCATGACTTAAAAACTGAAAATATTTATATAAAAATTAATATTTCTACTATTGGTTATATTAATCAATATTTGTAATTAAAAAATAATATTGCACTATAAATTAAATTGAATTATAAAAGCTACAAAATTATAAAATATAGAATATTTCAAATTTTATTCAAATATGAAGAAATTTATTAGCAATTCGGACAAATTAGAGAATAAATATTTATACAGATCAATAACAAGAATTAATTAGGAATATATTATATAAAAAATGTTAAATTAAAATTAATTGAATAGATCATTTAAGTTTATTTGTTATTTTTTTGAGTTTATCTGAGAAAAATTCAAAGTATATTTTAAATATACTCAAAACCATCGTAAATGATTTGTGATAATTAGTTAGAATCGATATGCTGAAATATTATTTTAGGAAAATAAATTATAATCTGAATTTTATAATATCTAGTTTTTTAGATAAGTAATACAAGAATAACAATTATTGTTCTCAACATATTACTTTTGAAATAAGCAAATTATTTTTATCAACAATTAAAACATAAAACTGGTAATCATTACTAATATAAAGCAATATAAATTAAGTTTGGTATTTTACTCATGTAATTGATTTCTTACGAGAAAGTAAAAAAAACTGATTTATAACATATTTAATATTCTAAAAATTCGATATAAATCAATGCTAAAAAGATATGAAACATCATATAATAAAAAAATACAACATGCATATAGCTTATTAGTTGTTTATCTTTTTTTCATTTCGAATTTTAAATTCCTAAGTATAAATTATATACATTTTGCCATATAATTAGATGAGAATATATAATTTTCATTTAAATATGGATTTAAATACAAATTTTAATGTTCTAGCTATATTTTCTAACTTCTTGTGTCACGATATAAATTATTTCCCCTTGATTAATTAATGGCAAATTTTGTTCAAAAACTCAGATATAATATTTCAAAACAATATTAGATATTAAACTTAAAACAAACCGAGAAGATTAACTTCTAAAAAACGAATAAGTTATGGTGATCTAAGAATAAAGATTAATTATTATTTTGGTTTTTAAAGGGAAAAATAATCTTTTTTTTCTAAGTTTTT